GCCCAAGGCAAAGTGCACCTACTCTCAGGTAGACCCAGAATCCGCCACGAACTAACCCCATCCAATTAAATCAACTAGTTTGCTAATGCATCATCTATCCGATTCCATTCAATTGCAGGTTCTCGCTGCGCTCAGCGTTTCGCTGGGCTCCCTGGTCGTGGGCTTCGCTAGCGCCTACACCTCGCCCGCCCTGGTCTCCATGACCAACACGAATCTGACGTCCTTTGTGGTCACGCCCCAAGCGGTAAGTTAAACCCCATTTAAGCTAAGACCAATGAGAACAGAGCAAGACAGGATAAACCGAGTCTAAGCCAAGCGAGCAGCTCTTAATTGACTTGGAATAATGTCTAACAGTTGGGAAAGACTCCCAGCTAAAATACACGTATTTCCAGATTAAATACATTCCGAACATACCTTGAAATTCCTATTACAAGGCGATTTCAATATTTTTGTGTTTGTTTTTTCCAATTGTTCCAATTCCGTTATTGCAGTAAAAATTGAAGTCCTCAAATTCACGGACTTCCTTGGAATTTGAATCCAAGGAATTGCAATTCCTTTCACAAATTGAATCCAAGGAATTGCAATTCCTTTCACAAAGTGTATCCAAGTCAATTCTCGCTAGACTCTAAAATCCTTTAGTTATCTCCCAATTAAAATAAATTCTAAAATTTGTATTTCTCTTCCACTTTGCAGGCATCCTGGGTAGGTGGCATCATGCCACTGGCTGGTCTGGCTGGCGGCATAGCCGGCGGTCCGTTCATCGAGTATCTGGGCAGGCGCAACACGATCCTGGCGACGGCCGTGCCATTTATTGTCTCCTGGCTGTTGATTGCCTGCGCCGTTAACGTGATCATGGTGCTGTGCGGCCGCTTCTTGGCAGGCTTCTGTGTGGGCATTGCGTCGCTGTCGCTGCCCGTTTACCTGGGCGAGACGGTGCAGCCGGAGGTGCGCGGCACGTTGGGCCTGCTGCCGACGGCATTTGGTAACATTGGCATACTGCTGTGCTTTGTGGCCGGCACGTATATGGACTGGTCGATGCTGGCCTTTTTGGGTGCGACGCTGCCCGTGCCGTTCCTCATTCTGATGTTCCTTATACCGGAGACGCCGCGCTGGTACGTCAGCCGTGGACGCGAGGAGCGCGCACGCAAGGCCCTCGTCTGGCTGCGTGGCAAGGAGGCCGACGTCGAGCCGGAGCTGAAGGGTCTGATGCGCTCGCAGGCGGATGCCGATCGTCAGGCGACTCAGAACAAAATGCTGGAGCTGCTGAAGCGCAGCAATCTGAAGCCGCTGTCCATATCCCTGGGTCTGATGTTCTTCCAACAGTTGAGCGGCATCAACGCGGTCATCTTCTACACGGTGCAAATCTTCCAGGACGCCGGCTCCACCATTGACGGCAATGTCTGCACGATCATTGTGGGCGTTGTCAACTTTGCGGCCACGTTCATCGCCACGATCCTTATCGATCGCGCCGGACGCAAGGTGAGTTCCCTGAATGCAGTCCTTTCCATTTACCTGCTCTACAATAGATTATTCCGCACCCATCCTCTAGGTTCTGCTCTATGTGTCCAACGTGATGATGGTCTTGACGCTGTTCGTGCTGGGCGGATTCTTCTATTGCAAGTCCAGCGGCATAGACACCTCCAATGTTGGCTGGTTGCCGCTGAGTTGCTTTGTCATCTACATTCTGGGCTTCTCGCTGGGCTTCGGGCCCATTCCCTGGCTGATGATGGGCGAGATTCTGCCCGCCAAGATACGCGGCTCTGCCGCCTCCGTGGCCACCGCCTTCAACTGGTCCTGCACGTTCGTGGTGACCAAGTCGTTCCAGGACATGATAGGTGAGTCACACATTTGCACATTTTCCACCAAGAAATGCCTAATCCCGCGATATATGTTCGTATTCAGATTTCATGGGCGCACATGGTGCCTTTTGGATGTTCGGCGCCATTTGCTTTATCGGCCTGTTCTTTGTGATATTCTATGTGCCCGAGACGCAGGGCAAGACGCTGGAGGACATTGAGCGCAAGATGATGGGACGCGTCCGCCGCATGTCCTCCGTGGCGAACATTAAGCCCTTGTCCTTCAATATGTAATTCTGTGAAAGGTGGCCAAACACACACACACACGAGCACGCATACAAATGGATCTTGAAGCGATCAAACCAAATATTAGTCTAGTGCCTTAGTGCTTAAGTTGTACAACTATGAAGAAATCGATATCGATAGCCCGCATCGATAACCGTATCGATAACGATTGTTGTAGCTATCACTGTATCACATGTGTTATGAGAGAGCGTGCCTTTTTTTTAGCAAAAGATTTTCCTTTATTTCTACATAATTATTGTTATTATTATGATTATTATTATTTATATCGCTAAGTCGCGTAGTTTTATGATTCGTGTAAATTATGAGTTTAGCACTAATTTTGTTGCCTAGATGATGATGATCATCGTCATCATCATCATGAAGTAATCTCTGTAGACAAATGACATAAATATTTAGTTAAGAAAATGCAAATGCCAAATGCAAAACTATCCACAACTATCCCGCTCCCCCACCTCAAAGGAGTTCAATCCAATTGGCTATTCGAATATAGACAGCTTGTAAAAAGAATATATGAATCTTTTTTAGTAGTATAAATAACTCTCGCAGCAACTGCGTCTATGTAAATTATTATTGTAAAATAACTTTATGAATATATATATATATAAACAACAAATGAAATACACGTTCTTTCAATTGAAGCGGACCCTCTCCAATTTTGAATGCAATATGAAACACACATATTTGCATGCGACCTTCGAAATGCAATTTACAGTTGCACAATGTCGTTGCAAATACGTGAGCATTATATTTTATATATATATCTCGCGCCCAGCCCATTCTAGAGTGCACCAAATATGCGCCTACACACACATGCGAGCACATATGGCAGCTGCACATGCGGTGCATGCGAATATATCAGCCACGATTACAATTGATTATTTTCCATATTTACAGAATATTCGACGTATACAAAGTCAGAGATAGTCGAGAACAGTTCGGGTCTGGCGGGCAAAGCCAACAAATCCAAAAATGGCGTTGCATTTATTGGATGAATGCACTGATAATAATGCGCTCGGAAAATATTTAAATAATCGCAGAGAAAAGTCAACTCAAGATTAATCGCTTCTAATCGAAAATAAATTGTTTAAGCGAATGTTTTGAAATAACCCTGCGGGGGGTATGCCAAATATATGCACTGCCCAGAGGCATACTATAATCAAATAAATAAAAGCTTCAGTTCTGTTGAAACCAAAATCGAAACTTTTGAATGTTTCACCAAATGTGCAAAATGTGTTTTAATCTTTTATATTAATTAATGCAAGCCAAAAGCAATCCAAATAAACATTGGACTACAGACAATATATATAAAAGTATGTCTGAATCAAGCGGATCGGATCCATAAAACCAATCCATCAAAGAATTTGTACAAAACATTTGCTTTTTAAAGACATTCAGCATTCGTATTTTAAACCCAAACATGATCTTAAGACTCAGTTAACATTTGTACGAAGCACCGTCTCGAATCGGTTCAACTGAATTGTCGCCACGCCGAAGCTTAAATACCCTTATTTACACAGTTAAGTAGAATAGTGAAGCACGTAATTGTTGATTTTGACAAACATAACTTGAAAAAAAAAAAAAAACAAAAGTTATCCATATATAAGATAAATTTTCGACCTAAAACAACGCGATTTAGTAGTTCGGTATTGATTAGATTATGCCAATGTGTTAAGAGCCTGGTTAACTTTGCAAATACCAAGGCGTAAAAATATATCCCTACTAATAGAATTATATATCAACAACTGTCCCGTCCACGATCTAATATTGTTTATGCGCCTTTTTCAAATGTTTTCTCAATGTTGAAGGTGTATAATATAATAATAGCAAATTATCAATGAGAAAATACGAGTATGTTTACACAAACATCAAGTGACATTGGCAGATATCTCATGTTATACACGATATGGACATGTTTATCTTCCGATATCCTAGCAAACGATTCATGCAGGTTTATTGAAAAAACTATGCATAAATCAGTTTGTCGATTGTTAAGATATTTAGGAAAAACTTAATTAGGGACCCAAGCTCGGCATCCGACTATACTGACATATTGTTCATATAGAAACTAGATTATGTTTAGACTGAGTAGTTGTTCTCACTAGACAAATGCTAAAAAACGAATCTAATCGATGTCTGTAAGGATATTAAATATTCTATACCTTTCTATTTCTATTCTATTCTAGTCCTGTTTTAATATCAAAAGCATTTTTTATAGCTTTAGGAAGTTTTCTTTTTTTTTCAATTTCCCGAATAAATGGCCAAGTAAAACAAATTTTGAGAAACTTAAGCCAGCAGACGAACAAGTGGAATTGGATAAAGTGATTAATAAAGATATATGTAGTTATAGTTGAAAGGTCGATCCCAACTTTAAGACTAGATATTATGATTTTCGCCTAAAGCAATACAATATGCATAGAATAGTCTGGTATCTGAGCCCACATGCTCCTTGTTCCTCTGACGAGGTCGTCTACAGAGTATAACATTATTTGTATATATAACATACATATATAGATATATATGTAGATATCAAGCTGTTTATGGGGTCTTTTGTAGAGTGTATAAAAATGGATATCTCAATATTGTCGGGGCGGCTTTAGATATGTAGCTAATGTTGCTGTCTAGAGAACAAATCTTCAAGCAAGATGAGTGTGAGAGTATGTGCTGCGGATCAATTTCATTATCTTTAATATATGCATTTGTTGTTAGAAGCCCCGTTAGATTTGATTGTCAGTGCAAATTGCAGAGAACCAAATCCATTTGCATTGTTTGGGTTGTCGTTGAGTCTTTTGTTCAGATTGCTGCGGCACATATATTGCTTGTTGTTTGTTGCACAAATGCAGCAGATATTTATATTTTATAGTATACGCATTACTTAAATGATCTTGTGCAGCAACTCACCCATGACTTGGACGCGGCAAATGGCGCATATGTCGCACTCGACGTCCCAGCTCCACATGGCTACGGCGTTCCATTTTTTGAGCGTGAACATTTTCTCCGGCTTGTTGTCGTCCGCTGGTCTGTTGTCCACTGAGTTTTCGGCATCATCGGCCATGTTTTGAGCACAATTTAAATTAAATATTGTTTAAGTTGTTTTTAGTGAGAAATGTGAATGCCGCTCTGCTTCTTCTGCATGCACAAGAAACAGCTGACTGGTGACTGGCCAAACGACCGCAAGTTCCACACCATCCACAAGACAGCACACCCTGTTGTGTGTGGAAGTCAACTGTTTGCCACAGGGTGTTTAACTATTTGGCGCGCAGTTCAAATTGTTGCTGTCCGCTTTTTTAACAATGCCGCCAGACAACATATTACAAATGTATTTTAATTGCAATTTCGATGGCTCGCACTCACGTCGCAGCATTTCGAAATACAATAATAATCACGATATCTTTACAAGTTACCGTTTGGCCAAAATGAGGCCGCGTCTCGCGTATCTTGAGCTCTGCGGCTTGTGTGTGGCTTTCAGCAGGTGCCTCTCTGCCTCGTCTCCAGTTGGTTGCGCTTCGATTACCAATAATAAAAATGAAGCAGCAACACGTCAAATTGTTGGCAACACTTGCAACTCAAAATAAACAAGCATCAAGACTGGTCGGATCGGAAATTTTCAAACAATTTATGACGAGGCAGTTAAAGAAAAAAATTGCGAAAATTTGCGATTGCCAAGCGGCGATTGCTCGTTTGGTAAATTTGAACGTTAGTGAGTGTTGGCCGCTTCCTGCAATTAGTTTTGTGATGCAATCACAAATCGCGCCTCCGTCCGACTCGCTTGCATAAGCAACTGGCCAAGAATACACAGCGAAATTGCAGATACAGCAACAACAACAACAACTCTTAACTGGTTTTTCATTTTCATTTCAATTTGGTCGACAGCACGATCATGGTACCACGATCTGTGGGCTGCTTTTCACTTTCACTGAAATGGCAATCCGCCCCGTTCCGCCCAGCGCTCCATTCCGTTCCGCCCAATTAATGCTTTTCGCTTTTTGTTTTCAGTGTTTCTTTAGCTTATAATTTAAATAAAAAACTCATACTCGTACGGCTAACACAATGATACAAATAAAAGTATAACACATTTGGCTTAAAACTTATGCGAGTTCCGCAAAGTGGAGTCTTTTTTTTTGTTTGCGGAATTCGCCAGATCTCGTTGCCAAGCAGCCAGTTAGTTTGTCCTCTCACTGCTGCTTGTTGGTCTTCTCCAACTTCTCCTCCTTCTGCTCTGACTCCTTTCCTCCTTGTGTTTATCACCCGTTCAACGTCCAGCTCAACGTTGCTGCGTGGATGCGACAAAGACTCTCTGCCCATGTCCTTGTGCTCTCTCACATATATCCTTCTTCTCGTTGTTATTGTTGTTGTTCGTTTTTGATGTTCGTATACTCCTTGTGCTCGCGTTCTGTGCTGGCCAAACTGGGCCACACTGACGCCTCCTAATCCTTAGTAGTGACCGTGGTGGCTCTGGTGGTAGTCGTGGTGTTCCTCATGGTGATGATCGTGGTGCTTGAAGATTGGCACCTCGACGTGGTACTTCTCTGGTACGGGAATTTCCTTGTGTATGGGCACCTTAACCTCCGTGTAGACGGGAATTGGCTTCTCAATTGGCACCTTAACCTCATACGGTACGGGCTTCTCTACGGTGTACGGTACCTTCTTCTCGACGGTGTACGGCTGTGGAACTGGCACCTTGACATGCACTGGATATGGCTTCTCAACCTGTTCGAGAGACACAAAATCCAATGGTTTATATTTGCCAACTCGATATGGAGTTTAGGTACTCTCTTACCTCAACCTTGTAGGGCTTGTCAACGGGTACTTTAACTTCGTAGGGCACCTTCTTTTCGACGACAACAGTGTACGGTTTCTCGACCTCGACGTCGTAGGGTTTCTCAACCTCGACGGGGTAAGGCTTCTCGACCTCTACTTTAACCTCGTACGGCACCTTCTTGATAACCTCGTAGGGCTTGGGCACTGGCACTTCCACTTTCACCTCATGTGGCACCTTCTTGATGACTTCGTAGGGCTGTGGCACCGGCACCTTCACCTCGTATGGGATCTTCTTGATGACCTCGTAGGGCTCTGGTACGTGGACTTTCACTTCGTATGGCTTGTCGACGGGCACTTTCACCTCGTACGGGACTTTCTTTTCCACAATGTAGGGCTTGGGCACATGAACGGGCACCTTGACGTATTCCTTAACATGCACTGGATATTTCTTCTCAACGTAATATGGCTGTGGCACATCTACTTTCACCTCGTAGGGGATCTGGGCCAGGCAGGCAGTTGCAAATGAATTAAATTGTTACGCGCCTCGAAGGCCAATCACTTACCTTCTTCTCAACCGTGTAGGGAACATGTTTGGTCACTGTGTAGGGCACCGGTACCTTCTTCTCAATGGTCACGGTCTTGATGTGCTCATGATGATGATGATGGCCATGATAGTCGCCCAGATGGAGGCCACGCTTCTCCACATTCTTGCCATCCTCGGCCGGGGCGGCGCCTGCGTCGGCCTTCTCGTCGATTGCAGCACAATGGGCCATTGCCACGCACACGGCGAGACAAGGAAGTACGAACTGTAAAAGGATAACGTTCTTAGCAGCTATTCCTTGCCCAGATCAGAGCACACTGAACCATATCCGATCTTTACCATTCGCATTGTTGAGCTGTTGCTTTGACGTCTCACGAGGAAAACAATTACTCCACAATAAACTGTGTTATACCAATAACGAGATCCAAGCTGGTACTGATTCCCTCACTCGCTGCACTCAGCTTATATACACCAAGAAATTGGTCTATCGCAACGCAATTCACTAATCCCCGCCCGTCTCCCAAAAGCTCGGGCTGCGGCGGCGGCGGCGACTGCGGCAACAACTTCGGCTGCGACTGCGCGCACATTCGCAACTCGGCGTTGTTGTTGTTGCTGCTGTTGTTGTTGTTGTGGATTTGGCTTAGTAATGAAATGTTGGGGAACGGTGTTCGGTGTTATATGAACAACTCGTTTCTCATATATCGACAACGTTAGAGCAGGCATCCCGTTGGCAACTGCAGGAGCCATGCATGATGTATTGCAACCAGGTAATCGGGTCGTTATCCTATAACAATAGCTAGGAAATTGTTACAAAGACCCAAAAACAAACAAACACACACATTTGCATAGGTGTGCGTGCGTGTGTGTTTTTTATGATCTGGCGTTTCGATGATTGTTTAACATGTAAACAAGACAGATATATCTCCGATTACCGGCTTTATATAATGCAAAAAAGCCAGACATTGACATCGCGTCTGATTTGGTTCCGTTTTGAGCCTGTTTAGATCTGTTACAGTCATGGACATATCAATATGCACACCTCGACAGCGAACAATGTTGCTGCGGATTATGTAAATCTTCGGCGATTGCATTTGTGCTATTGACTCGGCGTCGTAAACAAAATGTGTGGTAAGTGGCAAAAACAATGAGAAGGTTAAACACAATGCGTTCGACATTTGATAGGCCGTTGCGCCCATGTATCATATTTGTGCATGATTCCATTTTGTTCGGCGTCTTTGTAATCTATAACAATGTATCTCGGTATTGGGCGTTTTGTCTATTGGAGCTTAAACATGCTTAAAAGAAACTGCGGTGGGCTGGAGCTTCACAAGGTGGCCAGACCTGCAACAACAATTTTCGAACTACATGTTCGAACCAGTTCTGGCTTGATCGTTCCTTGCGTGAACACATTTGCCAGATTTAAGTTCTTAGTTCGAAACATGATTATGATATTTGCCAAGCGAACAATTAAATTATTATAAACTATATTAGTTATATGTATCTAAATATCTTTCCTAATTAGCTTTCTGCAACTAATGGAAGCTTAACGTTTAATATATGCACTTCTTTTGGCAAGTAAACAATTGGTTCAATGTGGTTCCGTTCATGTTAAGAATCAGTTTTTCGGTTCGGCTCAAAACCAAATTTCTGAGTGTGCCCAAACCTGGGCCTTCGAGCTAGCCATTTGGCTGTCACACTTCGACTTGACTCGATCGTGATTACAGCCTGTAGGAGCTGCCAGCGTGACTGTGCATATGTATGTATGTATGTATGTAAATATGTTATGTTATATGTGTGTTTGTGTGTGTGGCTGCACTGTTTTTTGTTTTTGTGCAACAAGAGTCATTAAATTGAAAACGTATCCACTGTTGGCTATTTAAAAACCAACATGCAGTTGCTGCCGCTACTTAGTGTGCGCTTAAAACTAAAACAAAGCCGAAATTAAACATATACGTACACACACACAACCACACGCACACACACATTGGCTGGCATGTGGCATTAGCAATGCATTAAACAACAATAAAACATAAAACATTTTCGTACCGAGCTGTACAAATTTTTCGAAACCCGCCACAGACGCGGAAGACAGTCTTTGGAAAGATGTTGAACGAGCACGCAGACGGGCGGAGGGGGGAGGGGGGGAGGAGTGGAGCGGCAGCGGCTCCATAGGCATTTACATGCTTATTCTATTTCGTCATCGAGCCGAGCGCCGTATTTCGCGCATTAATTGCCCATTATTGCGTTTATAATTATGAATTGGAGCTACAATAATACAACAACTGCAATTCTTGGTGCCATAATTTCACAGTTTCAACTAGTTAAAGGCAATTAGCAAGCTGATTTTAGTTTTTACATACAACAAAAATACAAAAATCGCTTTGGTCAATGACCTTCGTGTGATTTGTGAGCTTTGTAGACGCCTCTCCCTTTGGAAAAGTCGGAGCTGATCTTTGTAATAGAAGGGCCTTGACCCAGTAATTAGTTTTCTTATTTGTAGCAACAAATCAGGCATTTCTGCTTGTTGACTGGCTAAAGAGATTGCTCGGCCCTTTGATTTTTTCAACTTCGTTTTTCCCCTCATTTTCTTTTGCTTTTTTTTTTTGGCGCATTTATTCATTCATTCTGTTAATCCGTCATAAACACCGTTTAAAGAGATTGTTCAACTTCTTCGTTTCAAGTCCTTGAAACGGTGTTTAAATACACAAAACTGGTCAAAATTTACATATGTACGTCTTTTTAAATTATGTTCAACATTGGTTAAAATTTACAGTCGAAAAACGTGAATTCGACTAAATTGGGTTTCTTTCTTCGATTAATACACCTTTACAACCATATGACATATTCCAGTTATTTTTTCGGTTGAATTTAAATTGAATGCTCGCGTGATTGGGTGCAGAATCGGTATACTGGACATAAAGTATAAAAGGACAATCAGTTTTTGCAATTGAAAGCATTTGCTCTTTTACAATTGCACATTGCACCAAAATCCAAATGCAGGATTTCGCAGTTTGCTAATTTTCTTTTTTGGAACAATTCGAAATTCAGAAAAAGAGCGCAATAAAAATAATCTCTTAAATTATAAATATTTTACTTATGTAGGATATGCTAGCTTTGTTTGCATGATGAAAGCATTTCAAATAATCGCGCTACAAAGCAGTAGCAAAGTGTGACCGCTTTTAATTTTTGATTTGCTTGCCTTGTGCAGCACTGTTTGTACTGGGATTGTACAGCACTGCTGCTGTCATTTTATACGCAAGTCATTTTGGCATCAAAGTCATTCCGGCATTTGGAAATTGGATTGTTTGTCGCCTCATAGACAATTTTGAAGAACAGTAAGCCGTAATTTGCAATTCAATAATAAATTAAACAGTTAAATAACATTCTTTTAATTGCAGTTATATACAGTTATGTTTCTAACACGTTCTGAGTACGATCGTGGTGTAAACACCTTCTCTCCCGAGGGCCGCCTCTTCCAGGTGGAGTATGCCATTGAGGCCATCAAACTGGGTTCCACTGCCATCGGCATTTGCACAAACGACAGTAAGCATTGGACAGTAAAGTACCCATAATTGAATTTAATATAATAGTGATGATCATTTTGCAGGCGTTGTTTTGGCCGTGGAAAAGCGCATCACCTCGCCGATGATGGTGCCAAAGACAGTCGAAAAGATTGTTAAAGTAGACGAGCACATTGGCTGCGCCACCTCTGGCCTGATGGCCGATGCGCGCACTTTGATAGAGCGTGCACGTGTCGAGTGCCAGAACCATTGGTTCGTCTACAACGAGGCCATGACCGTCGAGTCGTGCGCCCAGGCCGTCGCCACGCTGGCCATACAGTTCGGCGATAGCGGCGACAGTGATGGCGCCTCCGCCATGAGTCGTCCCTTCGGCGTGGCCATACTCTTTGCCGGCATCGAGAATGGCAAGCCTCAGCTCTGGCACATGGATCCCTCCGGTACTTACATAAAACACTGCGCCAAGGCGATCGGCTCTGGCAGCGAGGGCGCACAACAGAACCTGCAGGAAAAATACACGCCAGAGATGTCGCTGAAAGATGCCATCGATCTGTGCTTGAACACGCTCAAACATGTCATGGAGGAGAAGCTTAACGAGACCAATGTCGAGCTGATGACCATGACAACGTCAAGGAAAGAGTTCACCATGCTGGGTGAGGATGAGGTTAAGAAACTAATCGAGGAACTGGTCTAAATGAATTACAGCTGCATTTTCTCTAAACACATGCAACATTTTGGTTATTTAAAACTATATGTGAATAAAGGGATTATAAATCGATTTGCTTAGAAATAAATGTTCTGCATGTTTTCAGTCAGGGGCATATAGGAATAAATGCTTCATTTCAATTAGGGATTTTAAAATGTTCTAAAATGTTCAGACTTTATAAACTATATATATTCTTAAGCAGCATCATGTCCACTTGTCAGTCTCTGTGTTGAGGCAATAATGATCGGACTCTTATATAGCTTTTATATACGTAATCTATCTAATTACTTTTTTGTCTTTCAAGATATCTACACCAGACTTCTATATTATCTATAGGAAGGATGGTCCATTGAGTTTTGTTGTGGCCAAATGAGTAGATGCATATCTCTTTTTGTTACAATTCATCAAAGTTTGATTCGCCTTTAGTCACATGGAATTTGATATTTAACTTAATTCCAATTTATGCTAAGACAAAGTTTTTTGCAATTAATGCAATAGTTGTATTTATATACAGTTGACTTTATTGAATCGTATTGATTTATCTTGTGTATACTAACTAAAATATTTGGGGGCCCCTTAGGGTGTCCCCCCTGGAGGCGGCCCCTACAATGCACGCCTTTTAATGTATGTATATAAATTGATGCGTATATATTTATTACTGTATGCTAGACATGAACTGTTGAGCAAATCAAACAGCTTCGATTAACTTGGTTAATCTCAATATAAAGGCAAATCATAAAGAATTTTCGTTAATATTCTTTTCTAGCGTATTTCTACAACATTTTTCTCACATCGATGCACAGACTTGATATATTTTTTGCTCTGCCTCGCGTGTAATACAAAATCTTTCTAAGTGGAACCAAAAGGCGAATATGCATAAATCTAAATCTCTATATATATATATATCAATCTGGATAATGGGGTGAGTACCAAGGGAATATGTATGTGAACCGGCAACTCGCTCCGAAGAGGAAAAATGCCAAAAGAATAAAATTGTATATACTTATTAATACGAGTATGTATATATATATATATATGTGTGTAAATATATATATATATATATATATATATATGTATATATATAGAGCATTCACAATAGTTTACATCACACCTAGGTTGGATGCTCGCCGCCACTGGGACTGTTGGTGTTGGTGTTGCTGCTGCTGTTGTTGCGCAGCATGAGCCGGGAGAGGCTCGTGTTGGGCTCGCTGAGCGAGTATATTTCCGGCTCAAAGACCGGCGGGCACTCCATATTTGGATAGTCCGGTGTGGCGGCTTTTGAATCTAAAGAATTGGTGTTGGATACTTTTGCTGTTGCTGGCTCCTGGGCAGCATCTTCCCTTACAGCAACTGCTGCTGCAGCTGTCACTGCTGCTGCTGCTGCTGCTGTTGGTGGTGGCGGAGCCGGTGGCAAGGGTGGCAGCAGCGATTCGGACGCGCACAGGTTGGTGTTAGATGCGGCGGCAGCGCCCCGATAGCTACGCTGGCTGTGCTGCGTAGGAAATATGACCTGCGAAAATATCTCCTGATCGCAATCCGCATCCAGATCGGCGCTGCTGGGCGTCTGCTGATGCAGCTGCTGCTGCTGTTGGTGCTGCTGATGATGGTGCCCGAAGAGCGTGCGATGCAGCATCGGCGAGCCAAGAAAACGATTCTCCTTCGATGGACGCGTAGGCGTCGCACTCGAACCAGACGTCGATGATATGGACAGCTTGGTGAAGATCGGTATCGGCGCCGAATTCTTGCGATGCGCATCATACTTGGTGCCCGCCACCTTATCACGCAGATCCTGATTGTACGTCTGGCTCTTCTTGATGTTGCTGCTGCCGCTGCCAATGTTGCTGCCGCCGCCACTGATGCTGCTGCCGTCGAGCGCATGATTGGACTTTGACTTTTTGTTCAGCGGCAAGGTCATTGTCATTGGCGTAAATGGGAAGCGCCTGTCGCTGCTGCCGCTGCTGGATTTGTTCTTGCTCTTCTTGCTGCTGTTGCTCGACACGGAGCCCACATCTGCATCATTGTGATGCTTCTTGTTGCTCTTGTGCAGGAAACTAGACAGCGGCTGCGATCGCAAAAAGTATTTCGAGCGTGTGCTCTGCGGCTGCTTCTCCTGCTGCAGCTTCTCCTGCTGCTGCTGGAGCAGCAGCTGCTTCTCGTGCTCGTTGTAGCTGGTTTGCCTGGAGACGCTAGCGCTGCTGCTGCTGTTGTTGTTGTGGTTGTTTGTGCTGTTGCTGCTGCTGGTGGCCGGCTCATCGCCAAAGATGAGCTCGTAGCCAAAGTCACGGAGCTTCTGGCCTTCCTTGGTGCGCGTGCGCTTTATGCTCTCGTCGCTGGGCTTAAAGCTAAACTCATAGTCGGGCGTCTTGGGCAGACTCAGACTTTGAATCTTTGCAGGCTTCTCGCCATTGCCATTTCCCACTGGCTTGGCGGCAGCCGCCGGCGCAGCTGCCACGCCCGACGTTGCAGTTTGCTGACTCGCATTGGAGTCGGTGCGCAGATGCCGGTTGTGCTTCTCGATGCCAAGGTGGACTCGATTGTTGTACATCTCCTGCGACTCCTCCAGCTGCTTGCGCAGCATCAAATCCTTGAGCGTCATGTAGCCCTGTATGTTGTTCGTCTGATGGTGCGGCTCCAATGTGCCGTCCCCGCCCCCCTTCTTGGTCATGAATGTTTTCGTGTGCGAGTGATGGTACTCGAAGACCTCCAAATTGGGATTCGAGGCGTGCAGATAATGGTACGGCACCTTCTTCAGGCTGGATTTGCTGCTGGGACTCTGGCTCTGGCTGGGACTCTGGCTCTGACTGGGGCTGGGACTGTTGCTCTCCTCGAAGCTCTGCTGCTGCAGCGAGCTGAGCGTGGGCGCCGGCGAATTCGGCGGGCCCAGACTTGCCGAAGCCACGCTCACCACCGAGCTGCGGCTGGAGCTGCGCGATAGCTTGCGCGCTGCCTGCTGCTCCTGCGTTCCCGAGCCACCTGGCTTGGGCGTTGGCGTCGGTGGTGCTGGTGCCGACGGCAATGTCGTCGGTGGCTGTGCCGGATCGTGATAGCCGGGCGTGTTGGCGCCTATCTGGATGCCACAGCTGCCGCCGGGCACCTTGCGAAAGGTCTGAAAATTCGCTGTTGGCACGGGTATGTCGCTGGAGCTGCTCTTTGCTGCATTGCTCTTGAACGTGCCCATTGTGAACTTGCGCAGCGAATCAAAGTAGCCGCGGTCGTGCTTCAGGCTGTTGTTGCTGCTCAGGCTGCTGGTGGGCGTGGCATTACCAGAGGCTGCCAGTGTGGCAATCACATCCTTGGAGGCCTGCGGCGAGGGCGTGCATAGATTTGTGCTGACCAGCGCATCATTCTCCTCCTCGCCGGAGCTCTCATTCTCGGAGTAGAGATCCTTGCTGGTGCAAGTCTCGCTGCTCACCGCTGGCAGCTTGAGCGAGGCGAGTCTTAGGAACTCCACCCACTGATTGAGCGCGTCCAGTGACTCCGCAGCGAAGTAGAAGCTCTTTGCCGTGTGGTACACCTTGAAGGCATGCGGCTTAGAGTGCACCTCCTTGGCCAGCGAAACAGTGAAGCCGGGCAGAAAGATGACCAGGCTGGCGCTGGAGCTTTGCTTGCTGCGAAACCCGTACAAAATGGTGTCCAGCATCACAAAATAGATGCGCGCCCAGTAGGTGACGCCGCGCAGGTTCTTCGTGCGCCTGTAAAGATGGCCCTGGATGTCACCGGTGCCCAGCAGCTTGAGGTTCGTGTTGCGCCGCTTGGCCATCAGACTGTGCTTTTTCTTCAGCGTCAGCGTACGCGTCTTGGTTGGCGTCAGCAGCTCGCTAATCTCCTGTTCCCCCGCTGCTGCTGCCGTTGTTATTGTGGCTGCAGCTGCTGCAACAGGCTGCATGCTCGCTGGCTTGGGGGGCGGCGGTGGCACAACCGGGGGTGTGAGCTCTCGTTGCTTGCGCGGACGCGGCGGCGGTGCTGGCGGCGTCACTAGAAGAAACTCTTTGCGTGGCTCAATGGCCGGCGGCGGTGTATCCGACTCCTCCTCACCGGAATTATCGTAGGCCGGCGTGCTATGACTCTTGTCCAGGCGGCCGCGTCGATTCTGCTGCTGCTGTTGCTGTTGGATGAGCGGCGCATTAATGGCCTCCGCCAGCGGCGGCGTCTCACGCGTAGCCAGCTCCATGGCCTGAATAAGCTCGGCACTTGTTTCGCTGGCGCAACTGCGCAGCGTTTCCAACGCATCCTCGTCCCCTTCGTCGGCAAAGGGTATTGGCTCAAAGGTCTCCAGTATGGTATTCTCAACATTGCACGTAAACTTCTCGTTCTTGACCACATAATCCTCCACCTTCATGTTGGCGTCGAAGCGCACCACCTTGCTCACGCCGGGCTTGTAACGGTCCAGCATCTGGAGCTGCTGCTGAGACTGCAGGCCCGCTTCGGTCAGCTGCTTGAGCTTGCGCGCCTCGTTGAACAGCCGCTTGGCTGTATCTGCGCTGTCGCTGGCCGCCAGGCCAATGCAGGTGGTAGGCCTGGGCGCAATCTCGAGGCCATAGCCAAAGGATATGGACTTGTCGCGTATGCTGGGCGAGCCAGGATCACAGATGGTGGCTCCGCCGACACCGCCGCCGCCAGGCTTACGCTCGTGCCAAGAGGGTATCACCAGATGCGGATGCTTAAGGCTGAGAAACTCATCGCCGCAAATTGTGTTCCGTCGCTGAAGCAGAGCTCGCGGCTTGGGATAGTACAAACGCATTTCGCGACTGGCGGACTTTGTGTCCGTGGGAGTGGGTATATCACTGCAACTGGAATCCGAGTCTGAGGCTGCATGCGCCTGCACCTGCTCACCCTCCTGCTCCCGCACCAACTCCTTCACCTTAACGCCTTTTCCGTCGTCGCTTCTCTGCGTTTTGGGCGCCGTGTCTAGCGTTAGGAATGCGGCACGCGGACTCGGGCTGGGCAAGTTGTCCGCCCAGCGACTGGCCATGTTTCGCTTCTTGCTTGGCAACCGATATGGCTGCATGTAGATCTGGCCATACATCTTGGTGTGCTTGGGCCGTTTCTTGACAGTGAGCACCACATCGGGCAGCGCC